TTCCCACTCCATTTTAAGCTCTAGCAAAAGGTAAAGACGTTTCGCCCAGCAGCCATTCGTGCGTAGTGGCCTCGCACACATCGCCACAGGCCAGTGCCACTGCCACTGCCACCGCCACAGGCCACTGCCACTGCCACTGCCAGTCTCTGATATGTGGATGTAGGGTTCATTTTATGAGTCCTCCTCGACCAGTGCCCTGTGCCTGGAGACCGGAACGGAATGGGGCCAATGCAGCGCTAATGCCTCCTCCGGCCGCAAGTCGAAAGGGTAAAATGATTGCCGCCAGCTGCCACTGCCGCTGCCACTGCCACTACCACATGTGTGGGAGTGCGTGTGCGTCTGTGGAATTTTTGGTAGCTTGAAAATTAATGGAATTCATGGCTACAGCTTGGCCCCTGTCCAGCCGGTCTGTCGGGCAGGTATGTGGGTCAATACTGCGAAAGCGAGGCGCCTCCGACTGCGACCACTGTGGTGCCATAAAATTTTTTCATTAGGTTCAAGGTTGCCTTGTCTTGTGGGTGCGTGCATGGAAATTAATAAAAGCAAGCTCGGCTCTCGCCCTGCCCCTGTCCCTGCCCCGGATCCCGGATCGGCAAAAATTCGCACTGTCACTGGCAGGCAGTCGGCCAGCAGGGAAAGCGAATCCCAGGCTGCGGAATTTCATTAGCCAACTTTTCGCCACAAAGTATGCTGAAGACTTTTGCTGCCTAACGCACCTTTTGAGCCGCACAATAAAATTTAATTTCCGTATTGTAGGGGGAGGGTTGCTGGCTTTTACTTCTATTTAACCATGTTGTTGTCAGCCACTAACCCGTTCTCCCTTCTGCCGTCTCTCATCTTGCAGGTCTTTCGGTCCGCCATCGACTCGTCGTACCTGCAAATGCTCCAGGACTGGCTGATCTGCACGCTGCCAACGTTCCTCGCCCAGCCGGAGCAGCAAGGTGTCTGGGGCCTCAGCGTCATCTTTTTATCCGCTTCCATAAATCTGCATTTGATTAAACTATTTCCGCTGGTGCTCGGCGTCGGGGCGGGCAACTCCTCCTCGCAGGCGGCCGTGTCTACAGCAGGAACGGTGATGGGAGTGGGGGTGGGCGTGGGAGCGATGGAGTCGGCGAGGGGCATGTCGGGCTCATCCACAGCGCCCCGTAAATTGGGTCAGCACGAAATTGCATTGTTCGTGACAGCTGCACAAGATTTCCATGCGAAATTGAGTGGCGAGCAGAGGCAACGCTTCCGCGAGGCCTTCAGCAGCTTCGAGCACAGTCAAGTCTACGGCCGGATGCTGCAGCGCCTGTGATAGGGGACCGACAGCGCCGACAGCCGACAGGCACAGCCACAGCTACAACACTGGCACAGGCACAGCGATAGCGATAGCATATAATCATCCTGGACTATTTGCCAGGCTATTTATCTTACGTTTAATTCCAATCGCAGCATCGAAATGAATCGCAGCGGATACGGATTTGGCAGCGACCAACTCAGCGGCTGCAAAACTTGCTCCAAAGACAAGCGCAAGCGTGAATAACTAATTGCCCCAAGGAGGACAAAGTCCCTGAGAAAGTTTAGCCGGATGCCCTCCCTGCCCAGAGCCGGATATGCAGCCCTTCTTGGGTCTTCTGCTGGGGCTGCTTCTGCTGAGCGCAAAAGTTTTTTAATAGTTGGCGAATACAAAATTAATTTATGCTTTACATTATGTGTAACTAATATTTAAATTATTGCAAACGAATGCACGGCCCTCACCATCCGTAATCTGGCCGAAAGTTTAACGAGGCCACTAGCGAGAGCGACCCGCAATTAATTCCTGTGGTCGCGGCTTCGACAAGGAGCCCGGACCCCGGACGCCGGTTCCAGGACGCGCACGGAAATTATGTTCTTGTCAGTTTTTGGGCAAAGTTTATCATTTATTTATCATGACGTTGCTTGTTAGGCAAGAAAGAAGTTGGGCGGCGGACGCGGACCGGCTAGTGGCCATTAGTATGCGGGCCCAAACCAATTCCTGGTTAATTCCTAATCAAAATTACTTAAAAATTCCATTATGCAAACAGCTCTACCCCTCGACACTGATCTTAACCAACCACTTGTTTGTCTCTTGTCTATTCCAATTGTAATCAATATGATATCTTTTCTTGTTTAATAAAATACTAAAATGACAAAATTCCAACCTGTGTCGAATTATAATTTATCAAATGGAAACCCGGTTAGACTTGTGCCATATCTGATTCATGAAATGCCTTTCAGCTTAGCCAAACTTCATCGCCAAGTACTTTGCCAACTAACCGAGAAATTTGGATTGCGTATTTGGATGCCATTCCGCACTGTATGCAAATCTGCTTGAACTTTGAACTTTTACCTGGTGGCGCATGTAACGATGCTCCGAAGAGTTTTCCGCTCAGCGTTTCGCCTGCTCCACAACAAAGAGCATTCAAGTTGACAAAATGTTGCACCGAAAGTATCGAAAAAGAAGCTCGGTACATGGCAAAGAGCAAAAAAACCGAAAACTTTTTAGGAATGACTTAACTTGTAGATGCCCTCGGATAAGAAAACCCTCTGGTATCTTTTCGGATAGACTATGTAGTAATTTCGAGTCTTTAAAATAGTTTGCGATGATGTTCATATATCTGTAGTCGAATTTCTCGCAAGCTCCCAAATATAAGGCATTCTGCAATTCCTGTCTGATCTCCAATAGAAATGTGGTTTTGCTTGTTTGGAGGATCCTCTGATAAATCCTCAGAATCGAAACAAGCTCGTTTTACTTAATATTGCTATATATCATTGCCCTATTGTGAAGCTCCCCCAAAATAGTTAAGAATCGATTGGTTGATGGCTCTACCAGTTCCACTGCAAATATTATATAAAACCTCCATAAGCCGTGTGGTGTACTCTACGATAGTTCTGTTACTTTGTTACCGATGGCTAAAACCCTCCACTACCCCTCATTCACTTCACCTGGATATACCCTCCCCCCTAACGGGTATCCCTTGAAGAAAATCCGCTGCATGTGTTTTGCCCTATGCCGCTTTCCGCCTTTCGTCCTCGTACGGCTTGTGCACTGAAATTGACAGATAAACTTTTGTGAGTGCGTGGGTTCCTCGTACAATATGTGTTTGTTGCGGTGGGACAAAGCAGGAAGATGGCTTTGTATGGATGCAAAGCTTGCCGGAAATTTGCCAGTTCAACGCGAATTGACAAAAAAACCGGTTAAAAAGGAAGTTGCAGTACACCGAAATGAACTGCAAAGCTGTTGAAAGTTGTTTTTCTGTTTTGGCGCGACCGCATTATGCAATCGAGCAGAGCACACGGTGGGTGTGTCTGGGCATGTCTCTGTCTCTGTCTCTGTCTCTGTCTCTTTCTTTTTCTCTCTCGCTGTCTCTTTCCGTTCTGTTGTTTCTCTGATTCCAAGTGAGTGTCAAGACAATGTCCCCCTTGTCGCCATTATGCCGCACGCCAAGAGGCAATTTGGCCAATGCTCTGGCCATAAACTGCAACATTCCGGCTATCAGCATTTGGTTACGCTTCATTTGGCCAAATAACCGTAACGGGCCAAGGCACAGATTGCGGCCCCGGCCCCGGCCCTGGCCACGGCTTGGCAGCCGTTCGAGCCGCGTGCGACTGACCGAGCACAGGTGGGCCCGGCACTCGGGCTCTCCGGGGCTCCCAGTTGCCATGACCTACGCACAGAAGTCCAATGACTCAAATGGAGGTCCTGCGAAGTATCGAGCTTAGAGCGTGTGTTCCATTGCTCAACGTTCCGCTCTCGCAGGACGCGCTCTCTGCTGCTGTTAACCGGAAACTCACCACCTTTCGGAGTCGCTCTCTTCGATGGGGCTCTCTTAAGTCCTGGGAGCGGCTCTCTCGGCTGCCAGGAGTAGGTCAGTAGTGTAACAGTACCGTTTCGTTTCGTTCCATTTGGTCTCTGGACTGGTACCCGACACCCAAGTAGACTCCTCCGTCGGAGGAGTGTGGCTGCTTTGTATGCAGGCGGCATACACGGATATCCCACAATTTCTTAATACTCGGATGGCTTTAAACAGAACAGAGAGCGGAGGATGTGGGAGTGTGGGAGTGCAGGGAGCGGCCCAACGACAACTGTTACACTCACAGTTATGATTATTGTTATTATGATAATGTCGGCAGTGGTTGTTGTAATTCCAGAATTGTTTGGCTATTTGCTCGGTGTGGCAATGACTTATCCAAAGTTTTGCCCAGCCAAGTGTGGGCTTTTGTGGCGCGGCCAAGCAGAATCGATCCATTGATTTTCTTGGTTTTCCATTTGCCCAGCGAATGTTGACACCTGTTCCCCCAGTCCTGCTCCCAGTCCTGCTCGGTTCTGTTCTGCTCTGTTCTGTTTCTGTTTGCCAGCCACACCTTGGAGCTCATTTGAAATTTTGATTACATTGCCATCAAGCCGAAGAGGAACCTGTCAGCGACTGATACGCATTAATTACGTTACTCTCGTACTCTCGTTCTGTCGTACCTGGTGTAAAAAGCAACGCCTCGACACTAGACGGAGCCGCTTATTAAAATTGAATAAATTATGCAAAAGTGCGCGTGGCAGGCGGTGGCTGAGACTGAGACTGAGACTGGGGCAGGGGCAGAAACTCAAGCCAATACACGCCGCGATCCACTAGATGGACACGGCATAATTAATTCAGCTCACACGCCGCCACCCGCGCCGTCGCCATCGTTGTGTCGCCTCAAGGAACCAAATGCAATCAACGTCTTGAGCCTGCTTCCTTGGCCAAAGTCAAGGTTTCGTAGCCATAACATAATGTGGGCGTCAAGTGCTGTTGGCTTAAGCTGAGCAAACCGCACATCTTCGAATCAGGAGCTCGCAGTCACAGACCAAGGGGGCCAGGTGGTTCTCAGAGGGAGCAGTTTATTTCAATCTTTATCGATGGTTAGCCAGTATTTTTGAATTGAATATCCGTTACAATTACTCTCGATTTTTCGTATCACCAAGTGAACATTCAAATGCCAGTGGATAAACATTTATTTTGGCTCTTAAATGCAATAAATTAACACGCGATTGGGGTTGTTAAATGACTAACATATTTCCTTACACATATAGCTGCATCGAGGATTATATACGGGGGAGATACATATAATATAATATATTTGTGCACCGAATATTCCTGTGCCATAAGTATAATATCCTTCTAGGACACGAATACAATCTACTAAGCTACGGTGCTATGTACAAGAATGGACTTAACTCTAGCCAATCAAAGAGCGCTCATCATTCTGTGCCCGATGATAGCTTTGGTCCCTTGGTCGCTAATTAAGGGCACATGTGTCCAGATCGACAATCGACTTCATCAAGAAGCCGATTCCACTGGCCTCACTCAATTGTCAGCCGTCGGTCAATCATATCGCAGGATACTGCTTTCCTCGGTGTCGCTTACATTCCCGTAGTGGAGGTCCTGCCACAGGACGTCTTGCGAGGCGGCGGCAAATCAGATGTGTAGTTCTGATATCGGGGCGAACAGTTAATGGCCTGCGGAAACAAAAATATCAGAAATGGACAGAGACATGGGAGGAAATGATGGAAAATTGGCAAAACTTAATGCTTAAAATACATAAAATACTGAACCAACTGAACGGCAGATTCTGGGAACTCTGGGACCAAGTTATTTGATTAATGATCTGTTTTGATGCACAGTCATAGTCACTGCAATGGGGACGAGGCCGGGACGAAGGCTATTCCCTTGTCAAGGCCTCGCTTTGCATTTGAATTATTAGATTTGATTCAATATTCAATTATTTAAGTGGTTTGAGGTGTCGAAGTGCCAGCAGACAAACGGCGAATGGCCTAGCAACCAGAACAGAACTGGTACCCAGACCCGTTCTGGGACCCGGACTGGGCGATTGGGATTTTGGATTGGATTGAGAGCGTTGGGTGGGGGGTGAGAGTTTGCATATAAATGATTTATGAATTTGCGCTTTGATTGAACTGCCTGAAATTGTTGATTAGTGCCTCGTCATAGAAACAACAACAGCAGCCATCAGCCATCGGAGGTCTGTGGAGTCTCCATTTGTACGTAGTATGCCTCCAGGGAAATGAGGCCGCCCCGGCAGTGGGCGGTGTCTGGTATGGGTTCAGTTTTGCTCATTATTTGATTATATCAAATGGGGTTCAAAATTATAAGGGAATACATTAAACTCAAATCTAAGAACTACAAAGGTGCAATAGGTATTTGAAAGTGAGTTTAGCTAAAACATATGTACAAAATATCCAACTATGTCTTACTGTAATAGATTCGAAAGTGTTTTCTCCTTGCTGGTGCTCTCCTGATGCTGCATTATTCAGGGGTTTTTGGATGAGGAAGGACAGCCAGCTCGAGCCGACCATCTGGAAAGCAGACACAGACACACGCTGACATATGAATGGAGATTTGACTAATGGACGTGCCGGGCAGATGGGCAATTAGTCAGATTGACACTCTGCCCACCGACCACGTGGATCTGGAAAATCTAAAAAGTTCAGGCTCCTAGCTGATAGCCGCTAGCGCCAGGAGCAATGGCATGGCAAACAACAGTGTGCCAATTTAATTAATGTAATTAATCTAATTTAATGACTTGACAAACACATCAATTAGCGAAAGGCAAAACCAGCCCAGCCCAGCCCCATGACCGGAACACAATTTATATGCAAAGTGCCAAAAGCTTTGCACAAAATGAAGAATTTTTCCCCGAAAAGCAGACTCACGCACCGTAGCAGCGAGGAAACAAATTAAAATATTAAAATTAAGCCGCAAAATGATTGAAAGGAAATGTTGTATAAGTCTCGCTCGCCAGCGGACAACCGACAGCCGACAGTCGACAGTCTTGACGGCCATCGATGACTCCAATGCCGCAAACAGGACCAACTCCTGCGGCTCCTGCGGCTCCTGGCTCCTGTTTTGTGTCTTGTGTTTGTCCCTAAAGTAATTAAAAGTAAGTAAAGCAAAATCAGGCCCTTAGCGCGGGTGGAGTACAGTGTCTGCCCAGTGATTTGCGTCCCGCAACGTTTTTTGTGTTTATGCAAATGGCCGCTGACCAAAAGAATTAATGCGTCCCGAAAGTGAGTTGAATTGGAATGAGCCCAGAACTGAACTGAACCGAACTGAACAGAGCTGTGGTCCAGGTCCCTTCTGTCTCTGAGCGGAACATCACCGGATGCCAATGTCGGCCCACAGACGTCAATGAATTTGCATAGAATGCTATGAAAAAAACTCCCCCAAAGAAAACAGAAAACCAAACTAGAAATGGAAATGGAAAGCCTGTAATTTCGTTTTCGTTCAATGTGTTGCTAATTTGAGACAGTATTTAAGTGAATTTAGGGGAATTTCGGCATGTATCACGGACATTTTTTCTCTCAAGAATATATGTACGTACATAAGTATGTTCCTTGGAGTGTGCAATCGTTTTTCAAACAATGCAGATATTTGCCTTGTATGCCACTTCGATGCATTTCACTAAACGCACGAAATTAATGATTTCAAATTCAAAGAATACCAGTTGTTTTGTTGCTAATTGGATGCTCGCCTTAAATGGAAGACTAATGTAGGAGAGCTTTCGAAGCCGGAAAATATATGAGTTTAATAAAGGAAATTTTGTAGTGAATTTTTAAAGAATATATCGAAGAAGTAAATGTGAGAAATGTGTTTTTCTCGACACCACTACGATGGACTTCATTAAATGAATAGAATGAAAGATTTTCTATATTTCCAGACTGCAATTACACGGAATTCTTTTCTGTTCACGACATGCCCGGCCGACGTAGGGAGCCCGGGAGCTCTCTTTGTCTTAATGCACAGCAGCTGCGAAATGTTCTCGAATGGAATGGCTCGCCCTGTTGCCGGGTCTTTATAAATAGAGATGGACGGTCAAATGATGATCTGCGTTGATCCATCCAGTTTGACGGCCATGCTTGACTGCTGGTTTCGAGAATTTCGCTATAAATTTCACCTATTTATAACGTAATTTTCCGATGGTGATTCCGTTGCCGTTGCTGATACTACAGCCAATGATGCTGCGATAAAGGCCAAACAGAACTCGGCCCACGCGGCGTATGCGCGTTTTTCGCACTTAACTCATTAAAACGGCCGCCTGCTCGCCGAAAATTAATGGGGAAACGCGCCTCCAGTCTTGTTACGGATTCTCGCTGCTTTTTTTTCTTTTGTCGGCTGTTATCGTAAATTATTTAATTGCATTTTAGATTTTTGATTTCGAATTAAAACTTTGCCACATTTAAAATCTCATTAGGATGGGAAATGGGTGAATGGGAGAAGAATGGAAATGCGGTTGGGCGGAAATGAACGTAAATGCTTCGGTTCGGTCTCTTATGAAGCAATTCGCAGCGGCATTTCTCTCGACCACTTAATAAATCAATATAAAAATGCAAACTGGGTTGAGTGCGATGGCTCTCTTAAAAATTATGACAAATAAAAAGTGGCATAAAATGAAAGTGCAACTGGGAAACAATGCTCTGAAAGTGCCGCATTCAATTCATCAATATATTGACCGAGCACTCAAATGCCAGTCAATTGAAGAGCCCTCCAGTGGGGGCGGTGCAGTGTCCGTGTCCGTGTCCTCGCTACTCACCTTGTAGAAGGCCTTGCGGAAATTCTCTGAGAGAAAGGCGTAGAGCAACGGATTGATGCAGGAGCTGCTGTACGCCAATGTCTGAGCACAAATCTGGATGATGATGGAGAGCAGGCTATCGGCCTCATAGACATCCAATGCCTTGAGCAGCAATATGAGCTACCAAACAGAAGAGAATAGATATTTAATGATTGATATTAGGGGGGTAATGTTGAACTATAAATCGTACTTGCACAGGCAGCCAGAGCGAGGCAAAGGCTATGACCACCACCACGACGAGCCGGGTGACCCGCTTGCGGCCTCGCTGCGACTCCTTGGACATGCGCACGCCGCTGCCCTGTCGCCAGAGACGCGTGATCATGCGCACATACAGTCCACTGATGATCATCAGGGGCAGCAGATACGTGCTGATGAAGAAGCTCAGCTGGAAGGTGCTGGCATCAAGCAGATCGTTATCCTTAAACCGGCACAGGGCATAGGTGATGTTGGAAGTGTTATCGTAGTGAACCTGCAAAGGGCAATCATCGTGTAAGCATGTATCGAATATTGCGCATACGTCATGTTGTCTGTGACAGTTGCATGCGAGACAACAGGCAGCCAGACAACAACCCCCGCAGGCAGACGTCATAAATAAAACTACGAGTAAACTGTCAAACGAATAGTTCGGACAACGACAACTAACTCGCAATCTGACTTTGTTGCTCTGTCGCTGACATTTGCCTGACAAATTGTACTCGTACGTTAGCTATGGCAAAAGGGAAGTGGAACCGAGAATGGTAATACTGGCTGGCTGGCTGACTGGCTCTGGTGCTGGTACTCGGATTGGGAATGGGATTGTTTCAATGGCTGGGCTAGACAGCCGTGCTGACGCTTAGGAGAGTCATAAACTGCCTGGCGTATCGTAAAAATATTTTGCAGCTTTTGTATACAGCTTTTGTTTACAATCTCTGCTGATTTCTCTTCGCTCGTTGTAAGCAAACATATAGAAAATTGTATTTAAAAAATCTTTGCCTTAATTTAATGCTGAAAATTCTTACAAAAATGTTTGTTTATTACCGCACTATTGTTGTTGTTAGACTGCACAAGATGTTGGCCCACAAATTGAGTTCAAATCTGCGCAGCGTCAAGTGCCCAAGGCTGCCCGTCCGGCAGAAGACAAATCATCAGCATCAGCCCCGCAAAAGCTGATTTATGAGTTTATCTTTGGCCTCTTTGTATTACAGATTGATTGACTTTAGATATTTGACAATGGTTTTTAATGCATTAATGTGGTTCTTTGGGAGATCTCTTCCCAGAACAGCTGTCAGTCCAATGGGACGTACATAGGCAGACATATGCGTTTATGATTATTAGCTATTGATTTCTAATAAAAAGATAATGACACACGCAGTCAGACCCACACAATGGCCATAAGTATCTCCATATCTGTGTACTGCAGACCAACAAATGTAATATGGAAATAATTAATAGCAAACTGTTAATTAACATGTTGATCAAACATGACTTAATTATGCCTTTTTATCGGAGGCCTTCCTTGTATGTGTACGAGTTGTACGAGTATGGATGGATACCATACCCATGTGTATCTGTATGAGGAGCGATAACAAAGCAGAGCACACATGAGTATTCGATTTGAGCAGATATTTTTCGAGCTTAATCCTTAGACAAAGGCCAACACATAAGCAAACAATACAGCGACCCAATGGAGGTTTTCTGGGGGGTACGGGCATACGTAAACAAAGACAAACAGAAGGAAGCGTGAAATGCCATTTAATAAAATATTAGGTTACAATAACAGCCTCTTCTCCGCATCGGTATCTAGAGCAGCCAATGGACCATTTCGTAGATAAAATAGCTCATCGCCAAAACGACGATAAGATCCGTTTAATTAGCCACGACTCTTTCACTATGGAAAAGAGATTGGCCCAGTCTGAGGCGTGCGTGTGGCAAAATAGACCACACAAAAAAGAAAGAAAATCGAACTTCTAAGTCGAAACAGTAGATACCCTATCCAGAATATGGAAGCTATGAGATACATTCACGTTTGTGCTGCATAGCTCTGAGTATTTTCATTTGACCAAAACGCAAACACCCCCCTGCAAGAGTATACAAAAGTTGGTCGCGTGTGATGTGGGATTTGGTTTATGGGCAGTGCGGGAATGGGAGAATGGGTGGGTAAAGATAACTTGATATTTGAATGGGTGAAGAGGTGAGCATGGAAATGGTATTGGGAATGGGATTGGAATGTGGCCCGTATGTGACGTCAACAGGAAAATACCCAAGTGCAAAGCTTTGATTATGTGATGTGGCATATTGAATGCTAGCCCAAATGGAGGAATCGAATACACATAGAGAGCCGAGCTACCATAATTATGATAATTTGGCGGCCTCTCGCTGCGAATTTAATGAAATAATAATTGATATGATGACGGACGGAGAGCAACCATATGCAAACAGAGCAAAATGTATATTTTGCTCATAAAAGTGTGGCGTTTATTTAACAATTAACTTGTTCTTCGCACTCTCCACATTGATCATAAAGCCATTAGGGTCCGGAGGTTGAAAACTGCGCATCGGCCGCGTCAAGGTCGCGGCCATGGAAGACATTTATCATACGCAGTGTGCAACCAAAGTTTCCAAGTGCAAAGTTCTCATAATGGCCACTTGTTACGACCTGCCCTGCAATGATTTATGAACATTTGAATGGGCGAAAGCCACACAATGCCTTACAAACAGCAACAGTTGAAATTGTACAGCCCCCGAAGAGATTTGGGATCTTCGGGACTGCCTGCCTACGCCTTGCCAGTTGGCAAGTGTTTCTCGCTGGCTATCTGCTCTATAATTAAAAATTTATGAATTTAAAATAGCGAACTAGTAACAAAAACAATTCGGGCGCCCATCTCGCGCACTGTAGCAAAATGTTCAATATAAACACACAAAGCACAAAGCAACATAAAAAGAGGCGAGCAACTTTAATAGAAGGCAAGTAAAAGCAAATGATTTGCATCAGGATTTGATCAGGAAAGGGGGGGATTCGGAATCGGAATCGGCAGACCATCTAGGTATATGTATATGTATATGTATCTGTAGTACAGCGGCATTGACGTGTAGCTCTAAGAATCTAACGAGGTGACGATGATGGAAAGCAATAAATTTGCCTGGCCTGTGTTCTTCACAGCAAATTTAGGCACAGCAGGCCCCCAATCGAGTATTCCGCTTTGGAATTGTACCTACCATCACATCGTGGGCAAAGGTGACCGGCATGGAGATGGTCAGCACCACAGTCCAAAGGGTAAAGATGGCTATCATGGTAATGTGCTCCGTGCGCAGCATCCGGGAGCGTATGGGATGCACGACGGCCAGGAAGCGATCGATGGACATCAGGACCAGCGTGTAGATCGAGGCGAAGGCCGTCACCACAATCAGATACTGGGTGGTGCGGCACCAGAAGTTGCCAAACGGCCAACGCTGGGTGATGTAATCGGTGGCCGTGAACGGGATGCAGATGATCACGAAGAGGAGATCCGATACGGCCAGATTTAGGATCAGTAGATTGGTGGTCGAGCGCATGTTCTTGTTGACCACCACCACCATGATGACCAGCAGATTTCCAAAGAAACCTGTCACGGCGATGATCCCAAAGAAGAACGGCACCAGCCAGCGGACAGTGTCCTCGATGGATTTCCGATCCTCCTCGGAGAAGAAGGGCGCCGGGGTGACACTCCCGGCACTGCCGTTCGTGATATTCGATAATGATATCGTTATGTTCTCCATTTTGCAATTGTAGGTCCTTTGGTGTTTCTAAAGATTTTTACATTTCACTTTGATGGCACTTTGATGGAATGACAGAAGTTGGAGGACATTTTCAATTTTCCATAGCCTTTGTGCTGCGGCAATTTCAATTTGAAGTTTTTGTTTCGTTTTCACAGTTCATCGAATTCAAATAACAAATTTCCAATTAGGAGATTTTCACAAAAGCAGCCGCAAAGAAAATTCAATTATCATCCGCAGTATTCCCACGACACGAGCAGCCTGGAACCTTCAGAGCCCTACTGCTGCACGGAGCACCCGCACGGCGACCGGGTCGGAATCGTTCATTCGTTTCGAGGTGGACAAAGGCAATCACACTCGCCCCACCCCACACTGGGAGGGAGAGCAGAGAGCAAGCGATAACGGTAATTGTAACAAGGTAAGACAACAACCAAAGGACACGAGCACACAAGCAAGGAGATGGCGATTGAGAAGGCAAAAGCAAAGGCCACGGCAAAGGCAAAGGCAAAGGCAACGGCGAAAGGTAGACGGCACTGCCACGTGCAAGTCGGCGCCGACGCAGCCCAAAACTGTGTCGTGTCACACCCTGACAACGGGCACCGGCACGGGCCCCTCGATACGACACAATACGATATATATCCGCACAGTCCCCAATGCCGAGTGGGGGGACAGCGACATCCACGCTGCACCTATACCATAAATTCAATATGATGTCTTTCTCCGTTTCGGCCCGGTTTCGGTTCGGTTTTCTGTTTTCTGTTTACGGTTTTCGCTTTTTATGGACAAAACTAATGGCATAAATTTTCGTGTTGCCAAACAACACGTTCCACCGGCGGTCCTCTCCTCAGTAGAATTGGCAAAGAGATACTACCATTTCACTGTGACAAACACTATGGATAGAAGAATCTACAATTTAAGTTGGATTTTTTGTTTCGTTTGATTGATTCCACTATTTGGGCCAAAAATCAAAAATCCAAACTGCACGCGTTCGTTTCCAGCGCTCTACTGATTGTTGGATGGTCTGTGCCACAGATGACTACAACGACGCTGCCGCCGCTGGCAGCCGGAGCAGCGGCAGAAGCAGCGACGCCAGGAACACACGGCGTATGCTTTATATGGAAAGAGTACTTTGGGTGGCCATTGCTCTCCGCCGCAGCTGGATGGTCGGATTGTTTGCTCTCCACTGCCCCAGCAGTTGGCCTGGGGATCGTTAAGAGCTACAACAAATGGTCGCCAATCTCGACTGGTTCTGGATTCCCGCTTCACGCTGACACTGTTGCCATTGTGTTGCACAGCTTGAGGTCCGCGTCCGCGTCGATGTCGTCAGCTTCAGCTTCAACGTCAACGCCTACGCCTACGTCTGCCGCACAGCTGGCGTCTCGGCGAGCGTCGCTGCTCTGCGTAGCAGTTCTTTAGTACTTTGCTTAATTTCTCTGATTAACTGGCAGAGGGGGAAAAAAAGTAAATAAAAAGCAGAGGCACGCGTTCGGTTCACGCCCCTAGGAGGCACTTTCTCCGCCCCATGGCTTACATAATGTCTGCTGGGGCTTATCGGGCCTGCTCTTATCGTCCCACTGGCGGTGGGTGGTGGCAGGCTCTGGCCCAGAAGCGACTGGGTTAACACCGTTTACACCGTTGGACGGACGCCGGGGACGTCATGTCACAACATTATATAACCGCAGAGCAGAACCGAACAGAGATACAGACTCTGTGTCTTGTCCTAGCTCGAAGCCTCATTTACATGCTTTTTATTGCCACTGCCAGCACACTCACCTGTCACCTGCAGACGCCGAAGCCAGCGCAGACGCCAGAGTTAGCGTCACCGTCACCGTCGCCGTCAGCGGCAGCTGTGGCCCCATCAAATCTGCGGCCGAGCTGCTGTCTCCCGGCATTTGTCTTGATGTGGGGCATGCCTCGGTGCGCCCCTGACGAGAACGTCGCCAACCTGATGAGATTAAAAGCGAATTAAACGCCATGAACAGCAACAGCAACGGCAACAAAATGGTAAAAAAAGTAAACGAAGTCTTGGCAAACAGCAAGCGGCAAGCGGCATTATGTTTATTTAATGCCTGCGACTGTGAACTTAATGAAGTCTTTAATTCTTAATGCAAGTTCATTGCTTATTTGAATGGCCAGCGAGGTGTGTGGGCATGGCCGTGTTCATGCGGAAGTAGGATGGGGATGGAGATGGTGATGGTGAGGCCGACATCTTGATTCATTGCATACTTTGCGGGTGCGAAAAATTGAACCGGAAATGCCGGAACAGCAGACCAAAAAACTGGTTGAAGAGCTGTTTATTGTGTGTGCCAAAACACACAATTTAAGCTTATTTCAGATCAATAAATACCATGCATAATTTCCACTTTTAATGCTCGTACTTTTAAAATTTATTTTTGGTCTAAAGATTACGCACAACAGGTGTGCTTCAGCAGCGTTCCCACACATCTGCAGCTGGATTGGGATTAAAATCCTCTCAGCTCATCATATGACGACCAGCAACAGCAGCAGCTTGTTGTACATGAGCATGAACATTCCACACAAAATTGAAAGCATTCTTCCAGGCGCACACTTAAATTAGCATCTGAATAAACTGTATGGCAACCAGACATAAGCGCTTCAAACTCTCGAAACTCGTACTTAGAAAACGTGCTCCCCTCCCCCCCCCAGCCACCAGTTCATACCTCATCCAACAGGAGCAACAATTTTTGTGATGTCAGAAAACTTTCGTCGTGATTGAAATGCTTTTTAATTTATCATCAAAATCATTTCATTGCGTCAAAAATGTTTGGGTGCCGTCGAAGTGCACAAAAGGCTTCCACATCCATCCATCCATCCATCCACCTACATATATGTACATATATTCGTATAAAGGGAAAAGCAGCGAACGACACGCCCAATCTTACGGGGACATTGCGCTTAACCTTTTTGCGTGGGATTGGTTCATTTTTGGCATAATCATGCGACAGGGATTACAAGGCTCACCCAGGGACGCAAACAGTGGATCAACAGTGGAGAAAACTTGTCAAAATTGGTGCGACTACAACTGATTTCGACCCCATTCTGACAGTTTAAGGTTCCCATCAGCATTGGGCTTCAGTAAAGTTTTAAAAGTAGCCTCAACTTTTGGTCTGAGGGACGCGAAAGGTCCCATGGTTTCGCAGTCAACTTGTGCCGAAAATGATGGATTATCGCCTTTTTGTGCTAACGTTCACATGTTTTTATTTACCAGTAAGTATATATCCTACACACACACATACATACGTAATACGTATACAGCTTTCAGTTTTGGGTGCAGTTTCCATTCCCCAGAAGCCTCACCCTTTTTGGGGGAAGCTGTCGCCCCTGAGGGACGGCGCACAAGAATTAATAAATGTAAATCCGCATGAGAGTGCCCGAAAAAAATAAGCAACGGCGATACTTAAGCCACACAAAAGACCACACTAATCGCTTTTTTCTGTTGTTGCTGTTGCTCTTAGCTGTTAGCTGTAGGGTGGGGTCCGGTCCGGTCCGGTCCGGTTAGGTCCGGATCCAGATTCATCCGGAAAAGGGAATGGAAATGGGATTTGGATCCCTGCACCAGAAACAGAACCGAGAAGAACCAATGGAGAGCCGGCGACATAACTTTTACACAGCTTTCGCTATTTAATCATTCAAATTGACTTTTTTCTTGCCTTGCCTGATGGACGTTAATTTTGAAATCCCTTTTTAAATGGCGCTCCCTCTGAAGCACCCACGTCCCCCACATTCACCCTTTGGCTGTTCCGCCTCCGTGGGCCGGTCGGTTGGTCGGTCCGTAACTTCGCTTTACGCTTGCGGCTTATAAGTTTTTTAGCCTTCGCTCATTTCATTTTTTCACGAATATTCTTTTTGTTTTGTCCGCTGGCTCACTTAGAATGCGCTGAGTTTGCATTTGGCTTTCATTTTAGCATTTCACCATTTCACCGAGCGCGCCTTTCCCACCGTTCCACTCTCCATTTTTTTAGTTTTTTAATCAAGATGTTTTAAATGCGGCCACCCACGCCAGTCCAGTGAATGATGGATTCTTTTTTGTCTTCGTTGCCGCCCTCTGGTGAGTGGGTTGCCGTGGGGATGGGGCTAAAGTAAACAGAAAGTTGGTTCGTGGGTTCGGCAAAGATTTATGCAGATAATAAAATGAGTCTTCAAATGAATAATCAAGTTTTCCATGGCCCAGGCACAGGGACTCGGACTGGGCCTGGGCCTGGGACTGGGGCGTATCCCTGCTGCCGTTCATCTGTTCATAATTAAGGTCCGTCCTTGAGCCGAGCTCTGGCCACTCAATGATAGCGCAACTTTTTGAAAGCAATACAAAATTCCTGAACCAAACATGGCCAAAGCATTCGAGTCAAGGACTGCACCATTTTAGCCACCCGCCAACGCTGACGGGCATCTTAAAGTGGTCTAGGAATTTAAGCAATTACCTGGTGAAACTTTATAGAAAATGAAATTTTCTAGTGCCTCACCGTTTTATTACCAGCGCCAGAGTCAGAGTCCAGTCCTGAGTCCGGGCTATTGTGTCCTGCAGGTGCAGGTGCAGGACAATAAAACGCCGCAAACTGCGGGGCGGCCATAACTTTACAATAACTAAACGTCGCTTCCGCGAAAGTGAAGCCTGTTGTTGGTACGGTGGTGCGGAGGGTCGGCGGTGCGGTGGTCATGGCCACAGTCAAAGCTGCAACTTGTTAGACCTCCTCAGACTGGAGAGGTGGGATTTTTTTTTGTTTTCTTTTTATTAAGTTCCATGAAAAATGTGATTTTTACGCGCCGCTGCAGCTGCCACAGCATTTTCCATTGTGAGGGAAATAGTACTCGGCGGTCGCAGTCGCAGTCGCAGCCCCAGTCCCGAACTTGTCAGTCCTCTGGACACACTTGTTGCCTTTGTTGAGATACAAAATTAACTTTTACGCTTTATTACCACAAGAATGGTGAAACAAAACAAATCTCAAGTTGCAAGTTGCACTACCACTCTGTCTCTATCGTCTCCTGCAACTGCCACACCATAGACTTCTGTTTTGTTTCTATTTTGTTTGGTTTTGCCTTTTTGTCGACTGCATCCGGAGGCCATCAAAATTGCCGGAAGCGCGCGCCGGGCAGTCAGTGGCATTGTCATCAACTCAATTACATTTGCGACTCCTTGCCCCGGCAACAATTGCAGAGAAGGAAACCCAGTCGCGGCCCCAGGCCCGGTCCCGGTCCCGGTCCCGTTCTCGGCCCCGGTCGCAGTCCCCGTCCATTGTTCCCTGACTGATGACAGAGCCTTCTAAACAAGCCGCACAATACGCACAGCGTCGCTGGCTTTTATCTGGCCGTTCCTCTGCTCCATTGTGTCCCGACTCGTGTGACGAATGCGACAGGAAGCACCCGGAGTCTTGATAGTCGTCAGTCCCCGGCACAGAAAAAAGCCATCCAGCAAGGGAAGAGTTCTGCACCTTTCCGTGCACATATCTATGGCGCCATAATTTACTGCTTCCCCCCGTCTGCTGGTAATCTATGGCTGCCCCTGCCGCTGCTGCTGGCGCTGCTGCTGCCGCTGCGGTTGCTGCTGCTGCTGCGGCGGAAATGTTTCACAGAGATTAGCACAACATGTCAGCATTTTGATTTACCTGCATGCCACGAGATTTGCCTTGCCCCAACCCCAATCCCAAGGAACATTTAACCCCCCGAGCTAAGCTCTTCCCGTGAGAGGATGAGGAGGCTCATGCTCCTGCTACTTCTCATCGAATCAGTATCGGTATCGGTATCGGTATCTCGGTATCATTAGCCAAGTTTATGTTTGCTTCTCCATTTCCAATGCAAATTGAAACGACTGCGATGCTGCGAGGGAGCGGCAAGGGCTCAGCACCAATTGATTCTTGAGCGGATTATCCAGGCAGAGATATGTACCGGTATGCACCAGATGTGTGCCCCGTCGCAGCCATCGTTGTGCCTTCATCTTGTTTTGATGCCTGCTGCAGGGCGTCATGGTGAGTCGAGGTGGCATTGAGCCCCTCTCCACTCCGAGGCATCGTTCCGTTGCAGTGCTCAGCTGTCCGCTTTTGCGAAGGAGTCTCCACTGAGTGATGTCGTTGAGGTAGCAGCTGTCCAGGATCACTTCCAGCTGGGACACATTGTCCGTGCGTCTGGCATGCAGACAGCGATAGCCATTCTTCAGAGTGCCCATCGCCGAGAGCTCGTTAAAGTGCGCCCTGATATGAAGGATTCTTTTGATGAAGAGTCACGAATACCGAATATCTGTCTGCAAACAACTCACTTTAGTTCGGGGCTCACATGCCGCAGATACCAATCGAAGCGATGACACCGGAGCTCCAGCTTCAGCTGTCGGAGCAAGTCCTCGTCCTGGTTGGTGTGAAACAATGGAATCTGCCTGGCCGCCGGCTTGAGTACGTAGAACATATTTTTGTACTCGTCCAGCCAGGAGTCGGCTATGATTTTTGAATTGCTGCGGGACGAGGAAGAGGAAGGGGGAATGGGCGATTCAATCAGCATGCGATAGGAATGTTCATATTAAACGGATGCTGCGATGAAATAAATTGAAAAATACCAATCGTCGGTGCGCTCATTTCACACCTAAACCCCAATCCAATAACCCCACAACCTACTGTAGATAGGTGGCATGGGCGGTGCTCGATTCGTGGTTAAACTGCGGCGGGAAGTCGAAGGCATGTCGAGGGCGAAAGATGTGTCCGATTCGACTGCAGGGCACGATCTCAATTTGTCCACCGCAAAGCCACAATTTAATGGCCAGCTCGATGGATTCGCCGCCCCAGATCTGCAAGAGAGACAAAAAGCCAGCTAGCTAGAGAGGAATTGTTGTGGCTGCAAGCGTCACTCAGGGTCACTCAGGGTGGAGCAGTGGAGCTGAGCACTCTGCCATGCCGTCTTGCTGCCATGGCCTGACATTAGCAATTAGCGCAGTTGGCACAAGTTAATTAGGTCTGCGCCCTCAACCCTTGCCTCGAGCTCACCTTCAAGTTTGGGTTGAAGCACCGCAGCTTAAGGAACCAGTCGCGTGAGATCATCAGCACGCCCCCGGAAAAGGCTGGACTCTTGAACGGCTGCTCTGGGGCCTCCTTCGCGGACAGCTCGCGCCTCAGCCAGTGGAAATGCAGGTTCCAGTCGAAACCACCCTTGACCATGTCGTTGCCACTTCTGTAGCTCAAGGTCGCGGGGTCAATGTGGTCAAGCAACGGGCTGACCGCCAGCGTTGCGTTCAGCGACAGTCGACCCAGCAGAGGCTCCAGCCAGTCCTCGTTGACCTCGCAATGACTGTCCAGAAAGAGGAGGTAATGGCCGCTGGCCGCCTCGGCTCCCCTATTGCGGGACCAAATCATGCCCTGGCGCTGCAAATTACGAAGGAATATGAACGTCAGGCGACCCCGGGTGGCATACATTTTTTCCATCAGCTTCTGGAGCTCCTCCAGCAGAGAAACTGAAATGGAAGAGTGGAAGAATACTCGTATTCACAGATTCGATTGAAGACGTGGCGAAAGGGAAGACGTACCATCCTGACTGGCATCATCTATGAGGATAAGCTCGTGCAGATAGTCCTCCGGCGTGCGGCTAACTAGGGATATGATCGTTCTCAGAAGCATGGAACGGGCTTCGTTGTAGAAGCTGATTACCACGCTCACTTTGGCACGAGAGGAGTGTGGCAGGTTGTAGGTGCGTTTGGAATCACAGCTGTCCAGGGGAAAATAAAATCGTGAATACTCTGGAGACCCCCAGGCATCCATTACTCACCTTTCGTGTCGAGTCCTGGGCAGGCTTCGTATTGCACCCACTGTATCACTCAGCTGGAGATTGTACTGGTAATTCGCCCCCGGTTGTTCGTGTGTGTGCGAAATGAACTCTCGCCATCCGAACAGACGATTCTCTTTGCCAGTACCTCGATGTAGTAGCAGCTAATAGAAAACAGTATTCTGAATAAGACCAAAATATATCCCTTCTTAAGTCCACTCACTCTGCCAGTGATGGTATCCTCGAGGACCCCATTCCGCAGGAAAACTATGAGAAACACAAACTGACAGATCACAAAGAACAAGGCACAGATCATGCACACTTGCAGCCGATGATGGGGTATGCAGCCGGACATGGCCTATATGGAGAACTAAAGCGACAACACATCGCGCCGTCCCCACTCGACGCGGAAATCAGACCGAAACTAAACCGTGTACAATTGGGCTCTCACGGTTCGCCTCGAATGAAGTTCCACTGCCTCTGGCACCGCTTTCTCGTTTAGCTTCCAATGTCTTCACATGTGTGGTTTTCTGTTGTATTTTTCGATAGCACTGATTATGTCGTCACATGCAGAGAGTTGAGCGATTGTATCGAACGCCACATTCGTGACCTGCTCTTCCCCCCACCCCCACCCCACACAGTCGTATCGACCGTGTTCTGTCACACTTGTCATTGATAAATGCTCGATAAGTTTGGCAAATATTTGTGTGCAGCTCGCAAGGTGTTAATTGCAGCACACGGCAACAATCTATTACCCATGGGCTGTCATGTCCATGGATGGGGCTAGACAGGGGGATTGCCAGGGCGCTTCAGACACCTCAGCAAACGCATGTTACCGATAGCCATTGGCATTAGTTTCCATCAAACATTTACAGGTTTTTTTTTATCCAAGTGATAAACGAACTGCGAGTGAATGATATTGATACATGTATGAGCGAAATTTGTCCGCGCAGGGTACGTGCGGGATAAAAGGTATATTCGGCTACTAAATACTAAATCAAGTTTAATTCAAATTTTTCTGCATTTAAAATCGAGTAAAACTTGACCTTGAGCCTTGTTAAGCTCTTTTGTTACAACGCAAACGATTCGTAATAGTATGATCCGCTTCGAATCGAGACTTGTGTGGATACAGCTGTACAGATCTGTTTAAAGTGGCACTGCGTCAAAAAAGGTTGTCATTACCTAAACCAAATGTATAAGAAACAGTAGATATCACCATTTGTTTCTTATACTCCAATATATAGTTTATCGATTTCCAGTCGACATATAATCTAACTCAGTAATTTTCAAATGATGGTGTGAGAGTAAAAGTCAAAATTGTTGACAAACATTAATGCTAATGGACTCTTCAAGGGTATTTTCAGGCAGGGACTGAGAGGCAGAGGCAACACCTCTCATTTGATTACATTATTTTTGCATTATAATTGCATTATTTGCCCTTTGCCTGGAATAAATGTATGTATGAATATTTCGCAATTCATATTTTGCTGGGCAAAAATTAATCGACTGTAATGATTTGCGCTATTTTCCCAGATCCACCTTCACCAAACCGCCCACCCATTAGCGTTCTGATTTGTTTTATTTGCCTTTCATGAAAGTAATTGCTGTTGACTCGAATGCGGAACATAATAATGTGATAGACCTGCAAATATACAAACAGTACAGACTATAGACTGTTCCGTGGCAATCAGTTTATGGCAAATAAATTGATGCATCGAGGATTTATATGGAGATGGAGGCTGTACATCCAAAGAGAAGTCAGTGTCAGATCGGAGTGAATTAAATTGGCTACCAAATGGCCAGCACTTTCATTGAGTTGAGATTCAGTGGTCAGGGCTCAATGGTCGCCGGGCAGTGACTGAACCCGTCGTTGCCTCTGACCCCACCACTCGCGCATATTGGCATTCCCTCTTTATGGCCTTTTGCTGCTGCCATAAATATTTCAAAGCCCAACGTCGCTTTGGTTGCCATGCACACAGCACAGCACAGAGCACAAAGAGGAGAAAAGGCAATGGTAACAACTGCTATCCACACACTAGACCATTGTCCATATTGGTCAGTGTCTGTCCGTGCTCCGTGCTCCGTGCTCTGTTGTTTGTTCCTTTTCTGACCCTCTCGGGCTATCCTTTTGCGGGTGTGCTCTCGCTCTGATGTGATTTTATTTAAAATTGTTAGGCAAAGCGGAAGTAACTCATTCAGTTAGCAACAAAATCAGGCGCCCTGTTTTGTGCCCCTACCCTGCCTCCATTCTTCCCCCATCCTGCTCGGCTAAATTGGAGTGTGACTTCCGCATTGCATTAGGGCTATACTTAGTTGTTAGTGCTGTAGCTGTAGCTGTGGCTGTAACTATAGCTGGAGCTGGAGCTGTGGCTGCCGTCCAGTTGCTGATTGACTTACGTGCCTCTCGTTTTCCTCTCCGTTTTCGGTTTGCCGTGGTAGATTTTTTGCCTAGTTTTTACGTGCAGCGGAAATGCATTTTTCCAGTCACGTTTCCTCGGGCCCAGACAGACGCCGCGCCAGAGCTCCAGCTGCTGTTGTTGGAGCTCATCCAACCCACGCCTGCAGTGGCTGCAGGTAAGACATACACCTCCACTGAGTGGCAACGACATCCAAAGATTCTTTTGTTTTCGGTTGCCTGGCAGGGGAATTTATTAAGCCGGGCGTGATCTATGCTCTCTGGCTGTGTGAACTAAAGTGCCTTGTAATGGAGGTGGATCTTCCTTCCGCAGCCGTCTGCCTAATTGTATGCCAGGTCGCGTATGCAGCTTAGCAATTAATGGAGGCAGACGAGCCAATTCAAGGGCTCCCAGGGAGACAAAATTCGATATTCAATATGTTTTCAATTTGCCTTTTTTCTCGTCCTTTGGTTTTTTTTCTCTGTTGCCTTGCCTTTGGTCGTATCAAAGGCAATCGCAAAAGCCGTAAAACAAATAAAAATAAAACGAAATTATGCCAATAAATGAATTATAAGGCACACGCACAGCGCTCCACGCACTACGCACCACGAGGCGTATACGCAACGCTAGTCAAAGAAGCGGGGCGACAATGCCTAAGTGGCATGTAAATGCCTGCCAGAGTCTATATATGCGTGTGTAGCAGCGCGGGTGTGTGGCCATGATTATTATATGGCCACTCACACATATGCGTGTTTCTGTGTGCGTTATGATAATGTTAACAGCCTCCGACAGAGGCACGGGAACAGGAACAGGCTCACTGGCACTGCCTGGCTCAGGCTTCTAAAATTTTATTAGCAAGCGGCTTATGGAACTTTGAAAATAATAACAAAAGCATCCCAAAACCAGCAACAGCGAGAGAGAGTGCCCCTCTCCCCACCTCTCCCATTCCCACTCTGTCTTACTCTCTCGCTTTCACTCTCTCTCTCTCTTGGTGGCCATAAAGAATATTGAGGAAATTGCTTTCTTTGCACTCGAAATGCTCCACAGACCCAGACACAGAGCCGGCCAGAGTCTGCCGCTTAGCAGGGTGCACTCATTTCGAAATTGTTGCGTATTATCGTAAAATTTTACGCACACTCAGCCAACCCACACACACCACACACTCACGGACTCTCACGCTCACACGCGTTCCAAGGACGTGCGCACACATACAAATGCGTTCTGTGGGTAACAGTTTTTCCCGCTTTTCTTTTGTTTTCGGCTCTCTTTTTTTTCATTTTGCAGACGACCGCATTTTTCTTTCCAAATATTTCCATATCCGGCTGCAGTTCCATGTGTGTGCGAGCCGTGCGTATGTGTTGGTTAAAAATATTTACAAAAACAAAACAAAAGATTGCGATTTGTTTATTGTGCCGCCATTTTATGAACTGTGGTCGCGCTCTTGAATTATTTAGTTTAATTTAACAAAGTGCTCTTGCCATAAAGTGATATGTGGCTAATTCGCCCGGGCCTGCGTCTCCCCAGTCCACAAACTTAAGGGGAGAAACATTCCTTTCAGCATGAAAAAAAGCCTAGAAAGGAAGACTTACTTTGGGGGCCGAGGCATTAGATTCCCTGAACAATCGCCGTTCGTTTCTATTCCAGGTCTCTAATATAGTGAATCGAAAAAGCCGTCCTTCTGGTCCAAGCCATGACACCCTCTTTGAAAGGAAGTACAAAAAGAAAGAAAAAAAAAGAACTCTGCACATGGATGGAAATATAATTTCAATGATTTTCCATTTCGATTTTAGTAGTGGAGACGGAAGGTAGATGGCCAAAGCGAAAAACCATTTTAATGATGTTTACACAGCTCCCATGCACCTGTCAACATCTCCCACTCCCCTCTTCTCACTCTATCTCTCTCTCTCTCTGTCACTGTACATGTATATGCCTGCCTCTCTTGCAAACCCACTAAGCCCCACCGTCTGTCGCTGCCTGTGTAACATTTTGCGCTTTATTGCGATTGACTAGAACTTTTCACTATGCCCGACGGAGTACTTTAGTTGATGACATTATCGCTGCAATACAAAAGGTTTTTTCCTGCTGCCACTTCATTTCTGTGTCCTGTGTTTGTCAAGTTTTTCTCTTTTTTTCTTCTTTTTGTCGGGGGGGCCTTGGTTTTCTCAATGAAGCTGGGAAGGAATCCCCTGTCTGCGCCTGTGCCTAAGCGTCTGCGCGTTTAATGCTTCTTTTGGGGAACTTTGATTCGACGGCGCGCGGCTGTAGCAATTTTTCATTAATTTGATTGAACATCAGCCGAGCAGGCGAAACGGAAATGAGGCTGAACAATTTAATGTCATATTTTCATTTGATCTTCAGGAACTTGAACTTGGTTTGGGGAATCGGAATCATTTACAAAAACGAGGCAACGACCCCTTATGAAATCCAAATAAATTGGAATGCTCTAAAGATGAACCTCATTGATACACAAACCTGCATCATGTAGTGCCATAGAAGCCATGTGCTAAGAATCAGTTCAATTTATTAAACTTATATATGCATTGAAATATTTAGAATATCTCATTGTCGATTCCCGAAAGTCGAACCGAATTCAGCTTCTCGCTAATGAACCGCTTCTGATCGATCAGCCGCACATAGACATCGGCAATGCTGGCACTCGGACAGTTGTGCCCCAGAATATTCATGCCACAGAAGCTGCCCTCATGGACATAGGGCAGGCCAAAGCTACGGATACATTTCTTGGAAGTCTGGGTATTGACAATGCAACTGGTGTAGTTCTTGATGACAAGGCCGTTGGGATCCTGGACCTTGCCCTTGCACTCATCATCCATTAACTGGGCGACTCGACTTTTCCTTAGGTGGGTCTTGCGGCTATTCCACGCCCACAACTGGACAGGATCCGTCGACTTGACGTGCTGTGGGCATATTGGCGGTGGTTTCGAGAACTCGTCCGTGAGCTCCGCTCCCAGCTTGATGAGAGTAAGCAGCTGCTCAGCCTCTTTCATCGTGTAGTCACTTGCCGGACGGTTGCTTGTCGCATTGTGGCTAGAGCCATCTAACAGTTTTATGGATATTGAAGGTAACGGAGCGTCCATGAGGCAGGTGCTGACCGTGAGCACCTCGTTCTTGTTGACAAGGATCCCATTGCAGACAACCTTCCCACCGGCTATTATTCGCACCACATAGTCATCGAGCGAATCTTTTTCATGGTCTGCCTTCACGGTGGTCGATCTGTGTACATGCTCGAAGCCATAATGTCCTTTTTTGTAGCCGAAGTGGGGCATCCAGTCCTTCCCGTGGTAATTAAACAAGTGTTTCTTCCTATTGCCCGCTTTTACTATTTTGTCAGACTTGCATACTATGATCAAGGCATTGACCAGGAGAAGCACCTTCCAACGCAACATCGCTGCAGTCTTTATCTGCATCTGCTGGGCAATAAAGAAATACATTTCACTAGTTACGAGACCAGACCAGATTGAAATGGACAATTGATTCGCTTTGCTTTGCATCAAGGGGTCTAGAACGAAAGAGCCAAATGTGTCCAAGGTAAAAACCCCACCAAAGTAAAAAGTCTACCACTGAATACCCATTAGAGTATATTTGTACCCACTTTGGGAGTAATGTTTGGCAATGCTCAGATTATATCCTTTTCCAAGTCGGCGTCAATAATGAACTTCATTTTTTCGCCCACAAAGTCTGCTGAATTGAAGACAATGTCATAGACGTCGACCCCAAGGGGCCGGGGACAGTTGTGACCCATAACATTGATGCCACAGATCATGCCATTATAGATCAGCGGATTGCCATAGGTTTTCTGGCACTTGGACGAGTGCTTGGTGTTCTTTATGCAGATCATGGTGTCGCGGATCACGTTGCCGCCGGGGTCATTCATGACCTTCCGGCACTCGGCCAAGGGCAGGACCTCAGTGGTCTGCGTGTGGATACTGTGCCGGGTGCGTATGTAGGTGGTCAGCTGCACGACGAAGCGGGGCTGCAGCGTGGTGTCGCACAGCTGGGCCGGGCTGAGGGTGACACTTGAGTTGCCGGCAGGATTGCTCAGCTCCAGGACGCTCAAACTCGTCTCACTATCTACATTGAAAAACTCGCTGGAGTTCTTTTGGATTACTCGCATCACCTCGTTCGCGTTGTGAAAGGTCTTGGCAGTGAGATCCTGTACCTTCACATCGACGAAGCAGGTGTTCACCGTGGCGATCAGCCTCTCGGTTATGAGGGTGCCCACGCACAGGAACTGTCCATTGTTGTAGATGCGTACGAGCAGCTCGTGCAGTGGCACCGTCATTCCCATTGTACCCAATTTGATCTTGGGCTCCTCGGATGTGCCAAATACCGGCGTATCCTTCTCCTTCGGGTAAAAAGGAATTATGGGCTTGTAGTCGTCCTGTATCCGGTGAGTATGCTGGGGTGAATATTTGTAGAACAGAGAGCGGTGTAAGTGGTACGTGTGCTTCTTTGTCTTTGACCACACCGTCAAGACGGCGAGCATCAGCAGAAATTGCAGCAGCAAGAAACGGGACATGGCCATGGTTTGACGAGTGTCCAATAACTGGTACAAAAACGATGGTCTCTCCCCCTGTTTGTCTAACCAATCACTTGGACACGCTTTTATTCGTTTCGAAATGCTTGGTTAACTTTTTTACAGCAATCAACCAAATATTCATAGCTGCTCCTTCTGCATGGCCAGGGCAATAGCCGAAAGGGTTGTCGTCTGGACAGACTCATTGAAGGGACCCGTGCCCGTGAAGGCCCTCAGTGCATCCGTGGCCAGCTGGATGAACTTGATGGTGTGCTTGATGGGGAAGTATATGTCCATGGTGTCGGTGTCCTCCACCTCGTCGCAGTTCTCGCCAAAGATGTTGATGGCGGCCAGCTGATTTTCTATGATCAGGGGATCCCCGGGTCGGGTGCTGCAGGCCGTATTTAGATTGTGCTTCAGATTGCTCACACAGTAGTATTCTGGCTCCATGATGAATTCGTTCAAGCCCATCATCTCGTAGGTGGTCTTGCAGCGATCCATATCCACCACCTTAGTGTCGTAGAGTGTGATTTCGTACTCGCTGGGATCCAGAAAGGCCATTTTGACGCGGTCTCCCGCTTTGGGTATTCCCCGGAAGAGCTTGATATAGTGATATGTATCGCGGGGCAACTTCTTCGCCAGGGAGATCAAGGCGATGTCGTTTGAGGTGCCGTTTTCCTTGTGGCCGGGCATGTAAAAGGCGTTCACCGCGTGAGGCGTCGTCGTGGTTGCGTGCCCAATGTCCACGCCTGTCAGAACGTACATATATCTGGCCTTGTACTCGCGCACCGGCTCCGTCGTTGGGGGCATGAAGCAGCGTGCCGAAGTGATGATCATTCGGCGCGATATCAATGCCCCGGGACAGAACACCGTACCTTTGTAGTAGATCTGTATGTAGTAGGTTTTGTCCACACTCGCATCAAATTCGGCTGTCCTCTCTACTGCCTCCTTATCGAGCTTATCGCGCGCCTCCAGGGCCTCGCGATTGTAGTCCACATGATTCGCCTTGCTGTGACTAGGATTGTAGTAGACGGGTCGGTGGTAGTTCTCCTTATACTGCTTCAACCTGGTGGCATTGATTTGCAGGCATTGCAGGCCCAGTAGCAGCAACAGGTAAATGCTTTTACACCACATGTCCGACCAAGATTGATATGCTTTCAGCTCTGCAGATCTCCGGCCGCATGCCATCAGCCATCAGGCATGGATAAAGAGATTTGTGGAACTAACAAAATTAGTTTCAATGGCAACGGGGGGGAATACTGATGCGGAAGCAGAACCAGCAGGAATATTAATTAAAATCTTTGATGAAAGCCATGTCTCGCCTCTGGCAACTCGTTTCTTTTCCTTTTTTGAAGTCTGGCATTGTTGTGGCATTTGCATTTTTTCAAGCATTCTTTGGGCGCCGTAAGGACAAAGAACATCGATGGTCGTCATTGCATATATCACAAATTGTAGCTGCACATTGAATTATAAGCCAGGCATCCATGGCTGTCATTTAACTCTTGCCTTTTGCAGACATCCTGGATCCTGGATCCAGTAGTAGTAGACGACAGTGGAGGACCGACCGGACATGAAAGGCTTGAAAGGTATACGCAAGATGAGAAAAACCAGGGAAAAAAGCGACCGCCGTACAACGAAGGACATAGATAATTAATTTGCTTTGATTACAGTTGTCTGGGAATGGGATCGGGGCAAAAACTGATTCGGAGTCTCTGGCTATGAAGTGGACTCGACTGGCAGACGGAAATTGAAGTGTTTCTAATGTATGCGGGGGGAGGAGGGAACGGAGGGAAGAGAAAACGGATGGGCCAAAGGCTTTCCATCTGGCCGTGATGCCGACAGCAAAAACTGACAGCAGAACCAGCCCGTCGGCGGCATCAGCGGCAACGAGTGCGTCTAATTGATGGGCATCCAAAGCCAAAGGAGCTGGCTTCCATGCAAATGTGGCTCTGCATTTTCGAGGCCTGCTTCTGCCACTGCCACTGCCACTGTCGGTTCGGGTCGGATCGGATCGGGTTCGCTCATCAATTATTTAAAATATGTTACACTTGGCACATAACTTGACTGACAAGCATATGTTCACGGGCCTGCCTGTAAGCCGAGTCAGTGGCCATAATAGCTGGTCATTATGTTTATGGGCTGACGCACGGGGGACACGGCGGAGCAGGAGCCAGCAATGAAACTGGAGTCTGCCCTCGCGCCCACCCACCACACACCTGCCTGACTCGGAAAAAAGGTCTGGGCCCCAACACATGCTGCAGGTCCACTGTCCTGGGCCTTATCCTTGTCGAAATTTATGCGTACATGCCCGGTTGAAAAACGTGGCCGACGACAACCCCTCCTCGGGTCATTTATTATTAGCTGTAAAATGCGTGCCGGCCCCTGTTTTGGCACCGACTTTAGTTTGGACTTTAGTGCTCCTGAGAGCCGAGAGCCCCCCCTAATAAATAATCTCCATTTGCAGAGCAGAGAGGCGAGGACACACAGAGGTGTGAAATCTAAAACGAAACCTACTGATAGGGATGGCTTTGCAGACTGTTTGTTTCTCTGTCCTTAAGTGGCTGAAAATACAGTCTATGATGCCCCAGTCCAAGGGCTCATCCATGGGTGGGCTTACTGTTCGTAACTGTTTTATTCTGATGCTGTCGACGGCAAATTAAATGTCACTCACACGCCATGTAAGCCGAGCAAAGATTTTGCAGCTCATTATGCAGCATGACGCAATCAAAAACACAAGCTCTGCCACACGGGGGGCTAGTATGGCGAGTATGCAGTGTGGGATGCTGAGCTTATTTGAATTTACAAGTTTGCCAACGACTAATGGCAAATTCAATTTCGAGCAGAGAGAACGCTTTAAAAGCAATCAAAGGCAGAGCAGCTCCATGGCTCCATGGCTGCATCTCAGGCTCAGATTTGGCTGCAGGGTCAGCTGTGCATTCGTCTTACGGTCTTTGGACATGGACTCGGCAAAGAGTGAGTTGCAATGGACACGAACTGCCGCCGGGTGGAATGTGGCAGGAGCAGCAGTAGCAGCAGCAGCAGCAGCATCAGCAGTAGCGGGAGGAGCATCTAGAGCTTCAGTAGCGGTAGCGGTAGCGTCTTTGATTGCACTGCAGCCTGGCCTCGTGGTGGATGGTGGTGAATGGAGGTGGTGTGTGTTCTTCTCTTGGCTGTCTTCTACTCAAGCACAGTTCGTTGCACATTTGAACATACCCTCGGAAAATAAATGCAAATTTAGCCATGGCAAACACACAGCCACAGCCACACATCCGAGCACATTGGCCATAGACATGCGCTGTTCCTTTTGTTGCCGCCGTTGCACATTTCCCGAACGCGTTCGATCCCCTACACTCCACTCCACTCCACACCAATCCACTCTACTTCAGCTTCACTGCTGTATTCCACTATATTCCGCTTTGGTCTGGTACTGGTCGTCTGCCCTGCTCTTTCAACATATTTGTATAAATTTTCGATTTTCTGCTTCAATAGTCTCCCGGAGTTGTACTGCTGCTCCTCCTCAACCTCCTCTTCCTTCTCTAACCCCTCCTATTTCTCGCTCCTCTTCACTTTGTTTATGTCTCAAGAATTCAATATTTTTTCAAACTATTTCTCCTGTTTTTCTCGCACATGCTTTGTTATAGCTCTATACATATATATGTATATATGTATGTATATATAGAGTATTACTGGCAGAGGATTGAGTACAGACAAACACACACTTTGTCCGCATCTGGATTGTCTGGATGCTCCTTTCTTATCTGTGGTGCATTTGATAATCCTGACGCACCTTTAAGCTGTACATTTTTCTGTGTTCGATTGGCAGACGCCAGGGAAGCTGAATTTACTTGCCATTCTCACATTTTATATGCTCATTAAATTTTATTGCCCAGATATACATAGTTCCAAGTCCCTCACACAACATAGAACTCGTTTGTGTTTTGGCATCTACATGCTTAAACGCTGCCTGCCTCCCGCTTGCTACTTAATGGCTAATTAGTGGTATAATTTACACCTTAATGACTCTACAACAATGCCCAGGCTGCTCTTTAAGCACGAGGAGAAGGAACAGGCGAAGGAGCAGCACCAGCCAAGAAGCCACAAGCCAGAGGCACCCTAGCAACGAGGAGCTAGCTATCTGCTCGTAGTTTAATCCCAGCACCTTGTATGCCACACCCCCACTCCAGGCTCCCGAGGAGCCTTCAGCCCAGACCGTTCCATGCCTACATTTTATCGTAGAGCTCATATGGATGTGTTTTGCTTTATGTGCAAATCAGCGTCCATTAATAAAGACAGCCAGCGAAATGTTAGGCATACGCCGCGTTGCATTAATCACAGCAAACGATATACATGCGAGTATGCCTCTGTGTTTCTATCTGTGTATGTGAGAGTGTGGCTCTGCGTGTGTGTGTGTGTATGCATGTATTGTGTGCGTAGTCCTGCTCCGGAGCGTGTTAATTTCATCGCAAATGCCTTTTTCAGTATGAAAATTTATGTATGCCATTTTAGACACTTTGATTTATGACCTTAACTCCGAAATGAATCGAGTTTTGTTGGATTATTCCCACCTCCGCTAGACTTTGGCTTTAGATGGTAAGCGTAAATTTCAGGGGTTTAATTTGGTATCGAAAGAGTAGGAGCATATATTCGTTGCAGTAGATCCATCAATTAGTTGAATATCAAAAGGAAGTTTCAATGCATTCAAAAGAATAAAATCTTGTGAATATGCAAACTTAAATGTTATTCTTGGCAATTAATCCAACTTTCGCAAGGCGCAAGGTCTTCAATAAGAAAGTTTGATGGGCTCTGAGACTTTTTTTGTTATAAAAGATCAACTAAAATTCTTATGCACATTCCTGATCAATATTTTCTCCAAAATTGTGCACTTTCTCTAAACCTCTAGAACATATAGAATTTACAAGGTTTTGTATTTTATGAAGATAAATTAATTCAATACTTTTTAAATATTTCACTTGACATTATCTATATACATATGCACATATATATATTTTTCAGTGGATCAATCAATTATGCCAAAATATATTCAAATATTTTCACACATTTTGCAATACATTTTAAATCTTAAAATCTTATGCACATTCAAAATGAAATTCCTTTTCAATATCCCACCCAAAAGAGTAACTACATATATCTGATTGACTTGCATGCGAGACGGGGCGAGGCAGCAAAATGTTGTCACGCACTGTCAAATACGAAATTATGGAAAATGACACAGCTCGCACAATGAAAACACACCTGGAAACCCCTGTGCACCTGGCAATGCCCTCCTCGCCGGGCCGGGGATGAACTGTGGCTCAGAGGAGCACCGTGGGTCGCCGTGCAATTTGCAAATTGCCATAAAGCTTGCAATTGTGTCAAATATTTTAATGCAATAAGAGTCACAGCGTGACAAAATTCACATGGTGAATGGTGAATGGCAAAGGGTGAATGCTGAATGGGTGCATTCAAAGCACTACTCTTTACTCTCCTGGTACCACGCTGCGTCAGCGCTGGGGATGACATCAGCAGTCGCCTGACCAGCTACATGATTGGTGGGCTTTAAAGCCAAGTAGCTATCGCAGAACTTATCGCCTCGGCAATTTCGGCTAACAGATCAATTACGGGGGAGCATAAAGCCGTTTAGAACCACAAAATCTAAACGGCAGCCACAAAAATAAAATAAAATCCCCAACCAAAACTAAGGCAACCAGCGGCTGCTGTCGCGACGGGCAATTCAATTTTTTATTTTCTATTTCTTATTTATGGCTCTTCAAAATATATATACATATCCGGCTATATCCCAGGAACGGGGACAATCGGCAAAGCGTTAAAAAACAAGCGAAAATATTACAACATTTTAATAGCGAAAATGAAGATTTATTGCCCACGACGACGACGAGGACGGATGACGGCGCGACGCTGCCAAAATGTGCCGCAAAAAAGTGGAGCGCTACTAAAAAGAGCTCGAAAAAAAGTAGCAGCTGACCAGCAAAATACAGCAACAATCAAACTTGGAAAACTTTAAAGTAGTCGACTAAAGAAAAGGATCTTTAATTCAAAAATATATGAAAATTTAGGCCAAGTGCGGGATGAAATGGATTTTCCGATTTTCCAAGAGGTGGAATTGTACTTAAAACCTGGCCATAATAATCAGGTAGATATACCTTTGCTGCCGTAAAATGCCCAGGGTATCGTGAGATGTGGAAAAAAGTGCAAAGTGTAAAAATCGCTGCCGCGTCACGTCACGTCAGCCGCATGATAGACCAGTCAGGGAGTTGGCCATCGCTTCCCGGTCCCCACGCTCGGACTCGGACTCGGACAGTGGGCGTGCTCAGCCTCTGTGTCCCTTATCGCCATAGTAGTTGTTGCCCCATTGTATTGTTGCCGCCATGTGGCACAGCCTGTTGTTGTTGCTATGGTCTGTGTCTGAGCCAAGCGCACGTCGCACTTTGTTAGCTGCATGCCAAACCCTGCTACCAAGAGCGATCCCAGGAGCGGAGCGGGTGCCGTTGCCAGTGCCCCATTGTTTGCTCGCCCACTAGGCACACACAACTGGGCGTGTCCAATCAAAATATGCAAATGTTTTATCCGTAAAACGTCGCTTTGATGGAATTTCGGCACATTTCGCCAGCTTTCCTCCCAGTTGCTGCCGACTGCCGACTGGCGACTGTCGGCTGCTGCTGCTGTTGTTTGCTTTGGTTTGGCTTGGCTTGGTTTGCCTTGTTTTGGCTG